CTGTCAAGGTCCCTCTGGATGGCATCCCTTCCCTCCAGTGTGTTGACCGCACCATGCAGCTTGGTGTCGTCAGCAAACTTGCTGAGGGTGCACTCAATCCCGCTGGCCATGTTGCCAACAAAGATGTTAAACAGCACCTGTCCCAGTACTGACCCGTGAGGAACACCACTCGTCACTGGTCTCCACTTGGACATCAAGCCATTGACCACAACTCTTTAAGTACGACCATCCAGCCAATGTCTTATCCACCAAGTAGTCCATCCATCAAATCCATGTCTCTCCAATTTAGAGACAAGGATGTCCTGCAGGACAGTGTCAAATGCTTTGCTTAAGTCCAGTTAGATGACATCCGTTGCCCTTCCCTTATCCACCAACACAGTAACCCCATCGCAGAAGGCCACCAAATTTGTCAGGCACAATTTGCCCTTAGTGAAGCCAAGTTGGCTGTCACCAATTGCCTCCTTAGGCTGGAGCAGGTCCCTGAAGATGTCAAAGTCTGCTCTCCTGAAGTCCACGATAGTGACTTTGCTGTGCACCCTCCTTGTTGCCCTAAGGATCTTGAACTCTACCATTTCATGGTCACTGCAGCCAAGGCTGACCTTGAGCTTCACATTCCCCACCAGTCCCTCCTTGTTGGTGAGAACAAGGTCCAGCATAGCCCCTCTCCGCGTGGGTTCCTCTGTCCCTTGGAGAAGGAAGTTATCATCAACGCAGTCCAGGAACTTCCTGGATTGCTTATGCCCTGCTGTGTTGTCCCTCCAACAGATATCGGGGTGGCTGGAGTGCCCCATGAGGACCAGAGCTTGTGAATGTGAGGCTGCTCCTATCTGTCTGCAGAGGGCCTCATCTGCTCGGTCTTCCTGGTCGGCTGGCCTGTAGCAAACCCCCACTATGTCACCAGTCCCTGCCCTGCCTTTAATCCTGACCCATACAATTAAAGTAGGGCTTCAATGTACAAATTGTGCATTTTTACTTGAGTCAAGCTTGAACTATTTTTTCAAGTTGGAAAAAAATTTAAGAATAAACAGTTCTGGAAGCCCTACACAAGATGCATATTTGTGAATACAAATAACTGCTTCCTGGAGCTGGTGCAGCACTAACATATATTTTTGTAGCTGAGCTTCCAATTCCAGTAGTATCCTTGCATCTCTACGAAGAGGAAATTCTGCATCTAACTCCCATTATGAGTAACTGGAGTAATATGTTCATAAATCCTAATGCACAGAGCGAAAGACATAGCCTTTAATTGCTCCAGTGCTCAGCCGTACTCTGCCAGCTCCAGCAGGCCACCTGTGCTTACAGCACAGCAGGCTGACCTCAGAAACAGTTCAGCAAAAGATTTCAGACAGCATACAGAAATAAAACCCAAAATCCAACGCTAAAGTCAATTATCTTCATTTTACTAACACTGCATCAGAGAGTCATAAACTCCTTATAAAACATTATAAATTGAAATGTAAAATACACATCCTATGCAGGTAAGAAAATAATTCATTTTAATACAAAGAGGAAAAATGTCAGGCAAAATTTAGGGCTTGATCTTTCCCTGAGGCAAATCAAAACATTTTCCTCGAGACATTTACAATCTGACCCCCACAAGCTGGAGTGGAGCAGGCTTTTGAGGTCAAATTCTTCCAGCTGCAGGAGGTGTTTTGTGCAGAGCTTCTCTGTGGAGATGAGCCAGGAGCAGAAAGTGAATGCTTACCCTGCTCTCATGGCAAGGCGTGTTCGCGTCTGGGCAACCAGTCTGAACCCACTGCTACGGCTCTCAAGGTCAACCAATGGCAGTTCCCTGCCATACCTCTTTCACCAAGAAATTTGTACGCGGACTTGGAAACCCGCTGACTGTGCTGTGGCAGCAGTCTACGTGCAGCACTATGAAGTCCCTTTTGGACTTCGCACATGGCTAAACAGGCTCCAGAGCTGCCTGTGAGCCATGTTGTAGACATGTAAAAAGCATGTTATCAGAGTGGAAGAAGTCTGAATGCTGTCCTGTTAGGCAGGATGGTTACCATCCTCTTGAAAGGTCTCTACTGAGAAAGCCATTCAAATTACAATCAAGCATCAGTAAACTTTATTTTCTTCCGTCTCACAGGACAGTGGACTTCCTAGGGAGGGATGGATATTGTTGAACACTGTACGTAAGGCTGCAGAAAGACTAGACTTCCCCAGTGGATTGCACGGCAGACAGAGAGCCGTACCCACAGAAGGCTTGCTCTCTGCTGCAGGACTGGGAAGCACCCTCCCAATGGCAAACACCACTAGAAATGTGGAAAGAGTTTTGTGAAACCTGAACACAGACAGCCCAAAGAGTTAAGAAGATCACTGAGATGGAACCATGCAAAGCATTTCTAGGAAACTGCTTTATATTCAAAGATCTGTAACCTGCATGCTTAATCTTAGGAAGTGCTGTGATTACAAAATTCCTTTAATAAAAGCCTCTGTTCGCATGGTGGTTTTCCATAGAAAATCCAATTCCATTAAAATGAAATTATTCACAGAGAAGATCCAAATTTTTTAAAATCTTGCTTCCCATTAAGAAAATCATAAATATTTCATTTTGGATTGTCTTGACCTTTTTTTCATTTGATCCATGATATTCTGTTTTGAGTCAGTTCAGCAGCATATAAAATCGCAGGTTTTATCACTTCCCTGCAGAAATTATAGTTGTCACATAATACTGCAGAGATACAAGGCCTACAGAACAAGTTGGGGAATACACAACTGACAGATTACAGGAGATACACTCCATCAAGTAGCTGGACCCAGAGGACAGGACTGGAATTGAGAGCATCAGACTCGAAACAGCAAACCTCCTGCTGTAAAGCAATGTAGTTTACAGGTTCAGTGACTCGTAACCAAACCAGTCGGTTGCTTTACAAACATAAAGGCAACATTTCACTTTTGGCAATGCTGAACTGTATTCTTTTGATAAATTTTTAAAGGCTGCATTTTTTGCAAGTTGATTTCACCCTAAATTTCTGTTTAATGAGAAATTTCCATTTTTATTCCCACTCTGGAATGAAAATAAATGTTGGAACCTCCCCTGGGAGAAAACATGCAAGTTTCTCGTACTGTATACTTTGCTTGCCTGCCATTTCAGAGGTTCTGTATTAAAAACCTGTAACACCCACAATGTTAACGTGATCTTAGAAAAGCCTGCGGAATTCAGAGGTCTCTGCTGCTCATTTAGGAAGCCCTCACAAAGGGAGATAGAGTGACTATGTTTCACATCTCAGAGATCTCCAACAACAACCCTGTGTGGTAACCAGCAATTTGAAACATGTACAGCAAATTCTGTACATTTCAGGTTTGCCACAATTTCTGAAATAAAACCAGTTTCCAACAGAAGGTTCTCAGAGGATCAGAGACCCAAAGTCCGTGGAATTTTCAAAATAAGTAGTTCAACATATTTACTTTCTCCTGTAATTTGGACATTATTATACAGTCTATACAGTCATACAGTTTTTAGAACATCTAAAATACGACAATAATTCTAATTTTCCAGATACAATCCTGTGCTGTATTCTGCTCGTATACTTCACAATCTTATTTTCGCTATGCTGGGATTAAGATCGTATGTAGATATCAGAATTGCAGTGATCATCCTATTGCAGCATAAAGCATCTCCAGTAAGAGCAATCTCTCACAGCTGTCACGGAAAAATGCAATTATTCTTGGATGTTTGACAGTAAGGTCAATGTTTTCTTCTGCTAATAGTCATGTCATTGTTTATTTGCATCATCTGTGCTAGCAAATACTTTGATTACTTCTGCATGGAGGTAAAACATTAATTATTCCAACATCTTTAACTTATCAGTTTTACAATATTCAAAACTTATGACAGTTTACAAAGTTTGTTCATTTATAAACTATAAAAATCTATAAATTATATTCTAGTTACTGTCATGTTTATTCACTGTGGTTAATGAAAATAGAAATGTAAATATAAGTCATCTAAAATGGATATATTTTGATATGAATTTTTTTTCCAAAACCTATGCTTCATAAATAATTTATTTCGTGATGCCTGGGAACACACACCATTTGTCAAAGGGATGCTTTTATTATAACATTTATGTATTCAAAAGCTTACTTAAGAATGGATGCGACAAAACTACTTTAATATTCATTTATTTCTGGATTTTTAAGAAAGCACTGAATGCATAACTTCCAAGCATTTAGTTTGCATTCATTCTATATCCAGTGTGGACCTTTAGGAACATGAAGATGTATTTGGGATTTTAGTTAAAAGATTTGCTTCACTCAGTTACACCTATTCCGCTCTACTTTTTGTCAGGTTACCACTGCACATCTCTTTCACAGACAGCATCTCATACCAGAGAGTAATTGTACAAAGCTTTATAGGCTTTTAAGTATAGAAACTTTAAAAAGGTTATTTTTTAAGACATGAGTGCCTGCTATAAAAGAACATACGTATTTTAACTACTCTCTTCATGAAGAAGATAGTAAAAGTACAGCTGCATGGAAATAGTGACAGAAATTTTGCTGTGTATATAAATAAATGACAAACTCCTTTCAAATTACCGCATATAATTAACTCTGTCGGTTAAATATCTAACAAAAAAAATCTATATGCTTTGCAAAGTCCATATGAGTACAGCATCCTAACCATCGCTTTTACGCAAGCACATGCCAACTTTTCAATTGCAATCAGTCTTTAGACTAAACAAAAGACTATTTTAAAAGCTGATCACTCACCTTCATGGATTTTGAAAAATTCAGGTAAACTTAAAATAAACATAGTAATTATTCCTAGTACTAATCTGAAGAGTTCTGGTTTTCTCAAGAGCAAGCACATGTCACTGAAGCACTCCCGTCTAGCATAGTGGTGGTAACTTCCTTCCTGGTTTAGCTTTTAACTTAGTGCAGACTAAGTGCAAAACAACGGCTCTTCATTTCCTTTCTCTAATATGACTTTTCTTTTTACTTCTTGTTACATTAAGTTGCAGAGAGCCAACTTCTGTTCTTACATTGGCACAGAGGAGGATGATTCAAATGAACAAGCCGAAGATAAAACTCATCTGCCACGATGAAAATAAGAGAAAAATCATGCACAGAAACTATTTTACTCATTTGGGGTTGTTTTGTTTTATGACTATCACCCCCTAATGGCCACTTTCATATACCTTCAAAATAGTAATCATCTTTGTGAAGGAATTTTGTTCTCATTTGGCCAAGAAGATTTTCTAAAAATGAGTCAGACCCTCATTACAAAAATTAGTCAGAACCACATGAGTCAGATATGGAGATTTTACTGTTTTATTTATATACATATGCATTGAGGCTAGAGGGAAGGTAATTGTATGTAATACATAATCTTTAAGGCTTTAATAGAATATTAATTTGATCATTACAACCTAAAGTTTTTGATCTGGCAAAAAAAGCGATGTACTAACTGCAATGAACTGCGCATGAGATGTTTGTGTTATCATTGCTGCTGTATTCTTTAAAGACAACAGATGTGTTGCCAATCTGTAGAGTGTCTTCAGTGTGTGAGTTACCATCCTTTATACCACAGGAAGACTGCGTAGAGCCATTACTATTTCTCTCCATTGAGGTCACATTGTAGCTAAGCTTTCCAGTGATAACTGTAAATGTAACAAATGTAACATGTAGGGAATGTTATCACTTCAGGTGGTCAGAAACAAGTCTTGGTTCTTTGTGAATAATTCAGACGGTTGCAAGATAAGGGACTCCTGAATAATCCCTTTGGTTGCCTAGGCCTTGGGAGAACAGGTATGCAAACTACAGAGATAAGGAGGCTGCAGGATAATCTGAAGACCACCGCCGAGAGACGCCAAACAAACATGTGCGATGGACATTACCATATATTAATGAATTCTCGGAAAAGCCATTACTATGATAAACATTTCTTGGAAATGTAATGAATATGTATGTTAACATAGCATAAATACCTAGTAACTGTGTCTCTTCGGTGCACACGTTTGGAGGAGAGATCCCCCGTGTGCCCGGCGCCGTAATAAAGAATACCTGCTTAATAGTCTGCCGACTATTGAGTCTTCAATTCCGGCTTTTCACGGCACCACCAGTTAAAAAAATGAAGTTATTCATTCTGACAACCACCGTGGTATTCCATAAATTCTTCTTACAGATGGGACTGCAAAGACCAGTTCTGAAAAGTTCCGAATAAAAGTACTCTGAATAATGCATATGTAAAAACAAACAATTTGACTCACATATAGAGTATACACAGTATGAAGGTTTTAATTAATTCAGAAAGTTCTCTTCTGATATAGTATTTTTCCCACAACTGATTGAATATTGAGTACTACCAAAAGGAAGTAATTCTGTTGAAGTTAAAATAACAAATGTCCTACAAACCCGAAATGCCCTTCATGTCATCTAGTTATCTCAGAAGATGAGTAAGCCAGGTGGAAGCAAATACGGTATTCGTTCTGTAGAAAAACTCTTAATGGAGCGGTAATGAATATAAATTTGTTAATATTGTATTTTAAATGTAGCAATTTTATGCAACGAAAGCAATGAAACCAAAGCAAAATGAACTGATTTTTGTGACAGTATGGTACAACAGAAGTAACAAGGATACAAAAAAATCATAGGTATGAATTTAAAAAGTAAAATACCACTGCGCAATTTATATTTATCAACTGCTGGCAAATTAGCTTTCCTTTGTGAGAGACTGCATTGTCCCTTAAGTATCCCCCGTATCAGTTATTTATATTTTCTTGTTTTCAGGGTTGCATAGTGTTCACCCATTCTTTCTTTCTTGAAGGACTGGAGAAAATAACTGGAAAATAACAGGAGGGCTTTGTCAGGTAATATGTGCATCTATCCCTTTCTGATACATTCAGACTCATCGTTGTTGGTAGAGCCCAAGGTCAGAACAGAAATTGCCCTGCAGGATCACACCCGGTATGCTGGGTTTCAGATTCTACCGGAGAAGGTTTCCAAGAGCTCTGCAGTAAGCAGATGGGGAGTATCTATCTATTTTAGGGCTATTGTGATGGCACCTTTTAGGTTAGTTTCCGAGTTTCGGGGGCCCATGTGTAGTCTGTCTGCGCACCCCAGGGACACCCTAAGCTTTAGACACCACTACCCTTAGCAGTTGCATGTGTGTAAGCCAGCTGAATCGCTTGCGTGTGTGTGGCCTCACACACCAGCTGAACTGAAAAACAGGGGTTTTCCTTCCTGGGAACATGCTTCCCTCCACCTAGCTAATGATTTTTGCACAGCTGGAATAGTTAGCACCTTTGAAAACCCTGTCCTTCAGTCAAATTTAGTTAAAATTGGCTAAATCATTTCAAGTCAGCCAGGATGAGAACCGGCAGACAGACGAAGCACACAGCCACATAGGCCACGCTTCCTTACAGAATGGGGTAAAGAAAGCACTGTACACCTCATTACCACATCAGACTGGCACTGCCACACCTCAGCAGTGGCCTCGCACGCCCGTAAATCAGTTTCGTGAGTCGGAGGCACATCTGACTGTCACACAGCCTATTAATTTGGAAAATTACTCTGCCTTTGGGTGGCGGAGGTCACCGGCAAGGCGTTGGGTAACACGGCCGGCAAAGGCTGGAGCGTGTCTGCCACGAGGCGGTGAGCGCCGGCT